TATGATCTGGCTGAGGGGGTTCAGCCCTATGCAGAACAGCAGCGGGGACAGAGCATCTCCTTGGTAGATACCGCACTTGATGTTGATTTATGCAATTGGCTTGAAGTTGGCCTCTAGGGTTGTTTTCCACATTCCCATTGAGTTCTTGATGAAGGCTCTTAGAGTCCTGTTGATGTTGTACAGTTCCAAGCATTCCAGGATCCATGTGTGAGGCATTGAGTCATAGGCTTTCTTGTAGTCAGTCCAGGCAGTGCACAGGTTGGTATGTCTGGTCTTGCAGTCTCGAGTGACTATTTTATCAACCAGTAGCTGGTGCTTTGCTCCTCTGCTGTTACTACCAATTCCTTTCTGGGCGCTGCTCATGTATTGAGCCATGTGCCTGCTCATCTTAGCTGCTATGATGCCTGACAGGAGCCTCCATGTTGTGCAGAGGCAGGTTATTGGGCGGTAGTTGGATGGTACTGCTCCCTTCTGAGGGTCCTTCAGGATCAGGAATGTCCGGCCTTCAATTAACCACTCAGGGTGGGTTCCATCCATTAGTAGCTGGTTCATTTATCCTGCCAGGCGCTCATGGAGTGAAGTTAGCTTCTTTAACCAGTAGGCGCAGATCATGTCAGGGCCTGGTGCTGTCCAGCTCTTCACACTTAAAAACACAGTCCTTCAGTACCTAACCAGATTTTATGTTTCATTCCCTCCTTATATTTACTGACAGATTGTGACAGCTGCACTTCTGGTTTGCTAGTTGATTTGGAGAAGTTGGATGATGGCTTGGCCTGGCTGAAGCAGCAGCTGCAGAGCATCACTCATGGTCCTGGTTCACTCTCCAGGCTAAACAACCTGGAGGCTAACATCTCTACAACCAAGGTACAGTTTTGTGTAATTACAAGGTATATTTGTTATTGATTTGATTTGATTTGATTTGATTTATTCTTTCAAACATGTAAAGACAGTCAATATGTCAACACACATAATTCCACACATATCCACAAATGCATTATCAATTTGCTTATACCTAGTACATGCTTGAACGGAGTAGGAAGAAGTTATTGCTATAACCTGCCATTTATTCCATTTTCTATAAAGTGCTCAGCAAAGACTTTTCCAAAAAGAAAAATATTTCAGTTACTGCTTCTGCTACACAACAGTGTTTCTTCTTATCTACCCTGTTTTGTAGATTGTTGTTGGGAGGTATAGCACTACTGTGAGACACCTGGATTCAAATGTTGAACAGCTGGAGGCAGATGTGCATGTTGTTGGAGACGATGTGAGTCAACTGTCTGATGAGGTACCTGGAGTGAATTTTGCTCAGTTAATCAAACTGACACTCAATCAGATGTTTAGGAGAATAATTCCATTTTTTATAAATAGTTTTGTGAATATAAATTACTGTTTGACTACTGCAGGGGATATTTTCATAAAATTATTGTATGACATATATCAGAAAACTACAAAGCACAAGCCTTGCTGCTCATAATGTCATCTTAACTTTGCTGAGTTTTATCAGTAGACTCTTTACTTTTTAGCACAGAGTGTAAAGATTTAATGTACAGAAACTGGTGTGAAAACATTTGATAACACTTGACACAAGTCATAAAATGATTATCAACTTTCCGGACACTTCACACTCTATCAGATCTGAGGAAGGTTTTGCAGCAAGTGAAAGGAACAAAGTTGAAGGCAGATGATTATATTTTGGAAGGTGAAATTCTTCTCACAGTAAAACAAGCTACATGTGTTCACATTCAGAATCTGAATCAGAATCAGCTTTACTGGCCAGGTGGACATGAGGAATTTTACTCCGGTGCAGTGGCTCTCAGTGTGTATGTACAGTGTTCTTCATAAGACAATGAGGAAACAAGAAGAAGGAGTGTACATTTAGGAAATAAAATGGAAAAAGTAAATAAAAGTACTTATATATGTATATAAACACATTTTAGATGGAATTTACAAGGGATTGCACTTGGGGTTGTCGTTCTGTTATACAGTCATGGGTTAAGTGTTCATCAGAGTGATGGCGTGGGAGAAGAAACTATCCTTGTGTCTGGCTGTCTTGGCGCAGGTGCACAGTGACCGGTAGCGCCGTCCAGAGGGGAGGAGTTTAAACAATTTGTGTCCAGTGTGTGAGGGGTCTGCACAAATCTTCTCTGCCTTATTTCTGACCCATGAGGTGTATAGGTCCTCCATGGAGGGCAGGCTGGCAGCGATTATCTTTTCTGCAGTCCTGACTGTCCAATGGAGTCTGTTCCTGTCCTATTTGGTTGCTGAGCCAAATCAGACAGGCCCAGCCTTTTTAACTTCCTGTTTGTACCCAGACTTGTCATCTCAGAGGAGATGGATGACCATTGTGTCAGTCTCACTTTAACACAATTCATAAAAATATGATAAGTATCCTTAGTTTTAATGATTTCTCTTCAACAATGCCAGCTTCAGCCAAGAACAGCAGAAGTGATATTAATTAATGGCAGTCTGTGTTATTGTGACTTGACAGATGTGATGAAGCAGCTGTCTGGGGTGAAACCTGGATCCATCATTATGTCTAAACCTGACAAAGCCAGGAGGATGGAGGAAGCTCAGTTCATTGTGCAAGAGATGAGAGGCAGAGGCTGCACTTCTCAGACAGACAATTCTGGCAGTGAGCAGGAGGAAGAGTGAAACTCAGAGTGACTTTAAGAGTGTGTAAAAGCATAATTTGTCACATTATATTAGATATTATACGTTACATTATACACTATATTACTAGAGAATGTGCAAAATTGAAATTTCTTTTGAACAGTTCTTTTACATACAGTGAACACTCACAAAGGCCATTTGAACAAGCAAAAAGAAAAAAGAGAATCACTGAGAATGGGC